ATTAAAATTACAAACACTATATATGAGTCAAATCTTATTTTTCTTTTTTATACTTAACTTTGTTCATCATTTGCTAAAATAGTATAGTCACATTATATCTTACTCCCTCCGTCCCAAAAAAATTTACACTTTTCAAAAAAATTGTGTCCCACAATCTCCTACCCATTTCTATTAAAAAACCACTTTTACCCCTTAGTTTTTCAAACCATACCTATCACTTCATACCTTTTTCCTAATAATCTACACATCACATCCTACTTTTACCCATCACATCAAAGGTATGTTTGGAAAGTCAACACAAAATTATCCGTCCCTTAATTTCAACTTTAGTCAAAACGTGTAAATCTTTTTGGGACAGAGGTAGTATTTTATAAAGTATTTGATTTGTTTTTTTAAAATATTACTTCATTTTTTAAATAAATTAAATAAAAATAATAATTCAGTCAATCACTGTAATGCATTTTGTGAATAAGTTATGGGATGAAGGGCGTACAAAGCTACATTGTGTATGTATAGGCATGTTAATAGGTCGGGTATAATACATTAATACCTGTGACTTTTTAGCGGGTTTAGAAATATAAAAAATATCGTTTACCTGTATCTAAACTTGTACCCTTTATTTTTTTAAAAATAGAGGGTCGACTAAAGGACGAGTAGTCCTGACCCATTTAAAACTCGATCGTACCGGTTAAATAGATATATAATATTAAATACTCCTTCCGTCCCAAAAAAGGACATTTGACTAATGTAGCAAAATAAGGGTGGGATAATTTGTGTTAACTTTTCAAAAATACCCTTGATGTGATGGGTAAAAGTAGAATGTGATGTGTATATTATTAAGAAAAATGTATGATGTGATAGGTATGGTATAAAAAAGTAAGGGGTAAAAGTAGTTTTTAGTAGAAATGAGAATGAGATTGTGGGATACCATTTTTTGAAATGTGAAAGAATTTTTGGGACAAAGGAAGTATTACAAAACCGTACTCTCCACTGGTTTGATACTCTCATTCTTCGTTGGTCGTGTGGATTCGAAATCTATTGCTATTTATTTCCCCATATTAGAAGTATTTACACATTGATTTATGCAATAGTATGAAATAAATAGTTTGAAATTAGTTGTAATGTGATAAAGAACATTCTTGCAACATGAACGAATATGACAAGAAGACTGATTATAAATCTAAGATTTTTGTTGTAGATTTTTGATAAAGCATGTTCATTTTTATTACAGTAACGTTTTAGTCCTATTTTTATTTTTATTCAATTCAAATGTTTTTCATTCATAGTATTTTCACTAAATGTTTTTCAATTATACAAAAATAGAAGACGTCAACTTTTATCACGGATATATCCGACTCGATACCGAAACTCAATGGATCTAAATCTAGGATTAAACTTCAAGATCCATCGAATAACAGATACGGGTTAGGATCAATTGTTTTAAAAGGGGTTTGGGTATATAAGACTATGGACCGACCTGAACTCGACTTATTCCCAATCCTAAATATGTGTATAAACTATTAAGGTATAAGTCTTGTTTGGAAACAACGTTTTTTATTAGCGTTAGCATTTTGAAAATTTTTTTAATTATGTAGATTAATTCAGAGAACGCTAACGTCAAAGGATATTGTCATTTACAGAGTATCATTTACAAAACATTCACGCTAATCTCTAACGCTGATTCCAAATGAGGTCATAAACTTATTAAAAGTTAACGGATGGCTCAAAAGCGACAAAAAAAAATTAGATGCATATCTACAACAAATTAATACGTATTAATTCATTTGAAGTTGAAAAAAAACAAACGCCCCAAATCCTGAGAAATCTCGTTTAGATTTTGTGAGAAGAATCTCATTTAGTGTTTAATTTTTTTTAAATACACACTCAAAAATTCGAAATGTTAAAATTTCATTCCATGTTCAATTTGATTTCTCTGGATATCCAATTGTTCTAAATATCCGTAATCTAGCATTTTTTATTGGCGTTGGCGTCGTTTTGGATAAAATTTTAATGGTGTAAATTAATTTAGAAAATGTTAAAGGTTTCTCTCACGTAGGATTTTAATACACTAACCCCAACATCTAACGCTGATATCAAATAGAGACTAATTAACTAAGTAAGAGTGTGTGAAAAAACAATTTGTAAACTACTCCGTAATTAGTGTATTTTGTTTTAAGAGAGACATTATATTTGTGTAAAAGAAAGAAAGAAAACCAAATGTTGACATGTTGTAATTATGGTATGGGTACATATATAACACTATGTACTGTATGGAGTATTAACTATTGAGGTATAAACTCATTAAAAGTTAACCAATGCCTCAAAAGCGACAAAAAAATTAGATGTATTTCTACAACAAATTAATACGTATTACTCCGTAATTCATTTACACCATAAGGTGATAAGGGTCAGAAGTTAAAAAAAAACAAACGCCCCAAATCCGGAGAAATCTCGTTTAGATTTTGTGAGAAGAATCTCATTTTTTTTTAAATACACACTCAAAAATTCGAAATGAAAAAAATTTCATTCCATTTGATTTTTCCTGGGCATCCAATTATAAATATCGGTATGTTAATTAATCTTACACCGCCCCCATACCCGTTATCATGGGGTTTACGCCACCGCGTTAAATGTTTGACGCATTAGAGAGCCGTTACCTCCCCCTCCCAAGGTAATATTTTTAGACCGTTGCCCAAATTAAAATGTAAATAACTATAAATACCCTTTAATTTTTTTAAAAAAATTTTCTATTTTTTTTAATTCTTTCTACAAACCACCTAAAATGCAATTTTTGAACTAACGTTGGATTTGATTAAAGATATTTTTAGTCGCTCCATGTAATATAATTTTTAATTTTTTTTGCCATTCGAGTAATTTTAAGCCTTTCTCTTTTTATTAATGTAATTTTTTTATTTAATATATTCCTTTTTATTTAATGAGTTATTATCATTTAAATTTAATTAATTAATCAAATGTTATTAATTTAATTTTACAAAATATGTATTAAAAAAAGGTTTGAGGCCCAGCTTGACTCGTTTCTAGTGAAATTGTGATTAAAATTAAAACTAATGTGACAATGAGAAAAAGTTTGTAGTCCTGCCCCGAGCTTTCATGCCCATTTTCAATGTTCTTGAACCGTCCTAAAAGACTATGGTAGTGGTATTAGTAGAATATGATGGGTCAAAACTGAAAACTAAAAATAGAAAAAAGAGTATTTATATATATTTAGATTTTAGAGTAAATTCTATAATTGGTCCTTTAAAGTAGGGAGTTTCCATATTTAGTCCTCTATTATCAAATATTACCCCCGTAGTCCTTTTTTAAGGGTACCTTTCCACAAATGGTCCTTTTTTTGATCTTCTTTCGTGTTGGTGTTAATTTAAAGGCTAAAAGTATAATTTGACATCAACATTATGTTTAGTGACGTGTTCTGATATTGGTTGAGCGAATAATACAAAAATAATGACTATGGTTGTGGGCTAGGGTTGTGACGAAAGACCACATTTGTAGACTATAGTTGTAGTAGAAAGCGACTGTAATTCACAAACAACGCAAACGGAACAGCTTTTGAAATTGTGTATGATAAAAAAGATATATTATCATTGTAAATTATAGTTTTACTGTTTTAGCTCTCAAATTAACACCAACATGATAGAAGATCAAAAAAGAGACTATTTGTGGAAAGATACCCATAAAAGAAGGACCACTTGAATAATATTTGATAACATAGGACTAATTAGGGAAACCCCCTTATTATAAAGGACCAATTATAGAATTTACTCTAGATTTTAATTGATTAAGATATTATTTAAGAATAGCATTTTCGATTAGCGTACGTATTTTGGATAAAATTTTAATGAGGATTTTTTAAAGTCTCTAAAAATATTGAAGTATTCAATTTGGATTTTCAAGAGTCTTTAAAAATTTTGAGATATTCAAAAGTGTATGTATGAATTTTACTACTCTATGAATTTTGTTGGATTACTCCACAAAATCTCTTTCCACGAACCTAGATTTCTAAACTTCCATAATTTCATCGGTCCAAAAGGTGGAATCGCTCACCCCAGGCGCCCCCACCCCCTTGAAACTTCCATAATTTCATATTCGCACATACGATCGTCTCTATCGACTCTCATCTCCCAGATCCGGTTAGTCTACCTATTTGTTTTCCGATCACGACTATCCAATCGTTGCTATGATCGTCGTCCGCCGATCAGTCTACTTCTTCTATCCTGATCGTTCCGCCCTCCTTGGGTGTGTCTGTCGCTCTGTCCGTAATTTCAGGAATGCAAAAGCAAGAAGTTGTAACTGTAGAGGGATTTGGAGATTTGCTAAGCATTGAGATCTTATTTGGGGACAACGAGAGTGAATTTCTTTTTGCAAAAATTCTATACATGTATTTTTCAAATTCTATATAGATTTTACAAATTTTTTAAATTCTACATGGATTCTATAATAAAAATCAACCTAAATTTACATAAATTCTACAAATTTTTCAAATCCACTAACTTTTTAAAATCTAAAAAATTCATAAAATTTTAATTGAATACGACCCTAAGTAAGAGTGTTTGAAAAAACAATTTATAAAGTAATTAGTGTATTTTATTTCAAGAGAGACATTATTTGGGGAGAAAGACCAAACTAGGACTAAAACATTGAAAATATACCAAAATAGGACTTCCATGTTTTTATTCCTGAAATAGGACTTACATTACCAAACATGGTCATATACATTACCATAAAAGTATAGTAATTTGCACATGTACACTGCCACATTACCACAATGCAAAGTCACATTACCACAGTGCAAAGTCCTATTCCGAGAAAAAAACATGAAAGTCTTATTTTGATACTTTTCTCTATGTTTTAATCCTATTTAAGATGATTTCTACATTATTTGTTTAAAAAAAGAAAAAAGGAAAACCAAATCTTGTAAATATGGTGGCCCAAAACAACACAAATGCACTCGCAAAAAGCTGAAACAAACCCTCCAAGAAGACCCTCAAAGGCACCCCATAAATACCACCAAACCTTCACTCTCTCTTCCCCCAACCCACCAAAATCCCCCTCTCTTCTCCCCTCCCAATTTCCGTTCACCCGAAAACAAATCTCTTCGATTTTCCTCCAGATGGCAATAGCGACGACGGAGCTGCCGCCGCCGCCGCATCCGTTCCTGGTCGAGAAATGGAAGCTCTCGAGGAAGGAGAGCTCCGCCGCCGCCGCCATGAAATCGGCGGCGCCGCGGCACCGGAGGTGCTCCTTCACCAGAAAATGCGCCTCCCTCGTGAAGGAGCAACGGGCGAGGTTCTACATCATGCGGCGCTGCGTCACCATGCTCATCTGCTGGCGCGATTACACCGATTCCTGATGAAGATCCACACACAGAGAAAGAGAGAGAGAGAGACGGAAAAATTGAAAAAAAAAAACACAAAACAAAAAACCCCCAATTTCTCTTTCTTTCTATGTGATGGAGATTCATCTAATTCCAGCGTCCGAGAAGGGAAGAGAAAGAGCAAATCTCCGCCGATCGAGCTTTGTATATATATCATATAGAGATTCTAATCATTATTATTATTATTTTTAAATACTATTAGTTGGTTCTTCCATTTTTTTGTTTTGTTTTTGAGTTTAAATTAATTAATTACTGAAGAAGAAGAAGAAGAAAGATGAGATTTTAGTTGATTTGATTCTCAGTCTTGTCTTCTCCACCATCTTCACTCTCTCTCGACTAATTTCTCTTCTTTAATTTCATGGGTCAATTAATGAAGAAAAAAATGAAGATCTTTCTTTCTCTTTGAAAAATAACAAAACTAAAAGAAATGGCACATTGAACTGAGAATAAAGTCCGAATAAAATCAAATCACTTCCTTTTTGTAAGAAATGATGAGCAAATAACAAAGTTGAAAGTAAAAATTCTGTCCGGAGTAAAAAAAAAAGAGTAATTTTATAATTGGATTCTAATCTGATTAAAAGTGGGTGAGAGAAATGAGGTCCGTTGGTCAATTAGATCATGTGGAATGGAGCTCATCCCATCTCCCAATAGGGCTGTTTCTGTTCTTGATTTTCTTTTCTTTTCTTTTTTTTTAGAGCAAAGAAGAACCTTTTAATTTTTCACCTTTTAACCCATTCTTTTTCTTACTTTTTCACCATTTATTGCCAAGTCCGTATTCCTTTGTAGTTTGTACTATTTAGAGCATCTCATTCTCATCTGATATTTAGTGCTCATTTGGACTCAACATGGGACAATAAATCAATAATGATATAGGGATCATGTAGGGTGTAAATCACAAGTGTACACTATTAGGGAGTAATGGAGGTTGAACCACCCAAATTGTAATGGAATATTGTACCATCTAACAATAGAACTCACACATAAACAAATATTACCATGACTAATAATATTATTATTGCCTAATATTTCTTTAATTTGGATGTGACGAAAGCAAGATGAAGCTTGGACATTAACTGGGAACAAGAAACTCTAAGAGAAGGGAATTCTGACATGTGTGCATTGGTACGAGCTTATGTCGAAGAAGAAGAGAAGGTTATCGGAGGTGACTGAAGATCTCAAATTCTTTTTCTTTTCTTTGACAAGGCCATGTTTATTTTCTGAATTGTGAGAATAATATTGTATGACTCTTTTTGGAGGGGTGAGTGGTTAAAGCATGCATTCATCTTCCTCTGCTTTCCTCTTGTTTTCACTTTTGTTTTGATTTGTTTCACATTTTTTATTGGTTATACAGAAGAGAAAGAAGATGAGTGATTGTTTATAATGAGTGATTGGAGAGAGACGATATTCTGATCTGGTATAATATGGAATGTGGAGAAGCCTAAGGGGGTTTAGGGGTATAATAGAAAAGTCAACACAATTTTTATCACACATTAATAAGTGTGCGCGATCAAATTGGAAAATTTATTGATGGACGTAGAGAGTATTATTTTAAGAAAAGAAGACAACACTCAACACGGGTATGGCTGTGATCCAGCGGGCGACTAATATTGGGCCTGCCTGCCAAGAAAAAAGTAAAGAATTTTAAATCACTAATAGTCTGTTCTTTAGAAAGTTTCTTCTAGTTATTCTAGTTTCTTCCAGCTTCTTGTAGTTTTTTTTAATTTCTTCTAGCTTCTTTTCATTTTTCTACTTTTTTAAACTATTCACATTTTATTCAATCTTTTTCTACTTTCCAAATGATGACTCTAAAAATGATGTGTCTTTCATTTACTATTATTATTACTATTATTATTTTTTTATTATTCTTATTTTAATTATTATTATTATTACTATTAATATTAATTCATTCATAACTATAGTTTATTTTGCAGTTTTTCATTTTTTATATTTTCCCATGTCACTTTTTTATGTAATCCACTTTCATTATTTTTTTTATTTTAATATAAATAATAAGAAGTAAAGTTTTGTTGTGAAAAATTGATTTTTTATTAATTTATATCACACTAAATGATATTTTAAAAATTAAGAATATTTTGTTAATATGATTTGACCTGGGAAAACATAAATATTTTAAATTTAAAAATAATAACTAAATTACTTTCTTTGTCCCTAATTAAATTGCATGTACAATATTCATGTAGTCGAATTTTATTGACTTTCTTTATCTTTTATATATGACTGTTATAATAATAAGAATAGTATTAATGATAATGATAATAATAATATTAATAACAACAACAATAAAAATTATGCTATGTTTGTAACAATAAGAATAATATGTAAAATACATTTAAGTAACTTTTTGAAATTCCTTCTAACTTTTTCTAGTTTCTTCCAATATTTTTAAATTTTTCTAATTTCTTCCAACTTTTTCCAATTTTTCTAGTTTTTTCTAGTTTCCTCTAACATCCAACTATTTTTTTCCAGTCCTAAAGAACAGATTCTAAGAGCGGTGGCTTCGATGACATGTGGGAATAAAAGAAATCAACTAAATATGAGTAAAACATAGCATTCATTCTCAAAATAGAAATTTGACATTTTTATCTACAAAATAGGAGTTTGCACTATGACATTGTATTATGACATTCTACCATATTTTTTGGTACTATATGTTGGGTTGGTTGATCTTTAAGGTACAGCTGCACCCTGGTGTATTCCTAGCATCACCCAAAAGAAGACATGCCTACAAATTAAACAATTCTAAGACTTTAAACATACTTAATGTTGTAGTAGTATATTAAAATTTGATGTCAAAAAACCTTAACGATATACAGATAAATTATTTATATATAAATAAGGTACATACTTATTCTAGGAATCTTAGTACATAGTCACCATAAAACAGTTTTACAAAACAGAAAAAATTTATAATATTCATGTCACCTAAATCCAACAAAAATAATAACAAAAAAGGTAAGAATATTCATATTTTATATGTAAACATAAAAGAATGGAAGCACACTTCATCTTTCACATCAATGAAATCAATGAAATTATAAAATTAGTCTCTCAAGTGGATCATTAATAGTATAATGTTGCCACCTCATGGGGGTAATTTATTATCGGAATAGATTTGCAGATTACTATAAACCCTTTAATTTAGTCAACCTAAATGATGAATACCACGAGAGAAAGAACAGTTTAAATTTGACCCTGTAACTAAAGTTGTGTTTTCTACTGACTTGTGGGGTTTATTGCCTATTGGTCTCCCCTAATTACTACGGAGTATTGTGGGTCAGTTTATTCTTTTTGTATTTTACGAGTAGTTTTTTTATAAACTTTTCTATACTACCCAGTATTTCTCTTTTCAAATTAATCATTTTATATTTTTCAATTTATTCCAAAAAAAGAACATTACTTCTTTAAGTAGTATTTCAATCGACTGATCTAAGGCTTCGTTTGATATAGATAATTCAAGTCGTAGAATTGGAATTATACCTTTCCCAATAACTTTTTACATAATGGCATAATTAAAGACTACCCTTTGAAGCATTCTCGCTTTAATTTATCTTTATCTTCTCTTGCACACTAGTGTCCACCAACCATGATCCTTTGTCGCTTGTATTAGTTCCTTTAGTTTCTCAAAGGATTTCTTTTGCCACTTTTCTAATAGTATATACTCCATCCGTCCCCCAGTTTTTGTCCACTTTCATTTTTACACACCATCCAATTCACTTTTTTAATCCATTTTATCTTGTACTTTGTGTATTAAAAAATTATAAAAATTATATATTAATACTCTATATGCTAAGACAAATCAAACAAGATCACACATGAATATGTTTAGGCTTACACATTGAGAGAATTTGATGAGTCAAAGTGCTTAGATGAACAGTTCTAAAAGTCAAAAGTGGACAAAAACTGGGGGACGGAGGGAATATGTGCTATCTCACATCATAACTCTTTCACACTTTTATATATCTATCCCATTATTCTTCTTAAAGTAGACGATATTGGAAACTCATTTACTTATTACCTTTCAAATGCCACCATCTAGTCCTTGAGTCCTTCTCTTGCTGACTCCTTACCTTTCGTTGGATACGAAAATCCATAACAATCACTTTATGTTTGGTGGTCAAACTTTCTCCGGGCATAATTTTGTAATTAGTATAAATTTTTTAATCTGATTTTTCTTAGCATAAAGAAATCAATTTGAGAGCATGTTTCTCACTCTTATAATATGGTGATAAATACAATATATAAACTAAAATACAACATGGAAATCTATAATAAAAATAATAGTAATAATGATAATAATAGTAGTAATATCTCGTAATTCAATCAAATATCATAGAATAAAACAAGATTTTTTTAATATAGAGAAAGTTATTCCTTTGTGTATAAATAAACTTGCATAGTTTCCCATGTCATTGATATATGCATCTCTTTATGAATAATGTCTCTAACTTTGTGTTTCTATATAGAAACACTTGTGATCTATGTATTAAACAATTTAAACTTGAACAAGTTCAGATTAACCAATTTTTCGTAATAAAGGATAGCGAATCTAAGAAAGAATATTGTTGGGGGCACAATAGTAAGAGGTATATCGCACAGATAATTATTGTCTGTACATTTTCGTGATCCACTTAATTTATAAATAGTGTACAAATCTTGGTGTTCCTTAGGAGAAACATATTGCACCCATCCAGATTCCAGAAGCCTTTGACTCGGTATGATATAAGAGTTGTGCACCCATCCAGATTCCAGAAGCCTTTGACTCGGTATGATATAAGAGTTGAAGAATGCGTCAACTCAATGAAAGTCTTACCTTATATGCATGTATTTGGCCATGTTGAGTCTGATCGAGTTTGGGGCAAAATGGACTGCTTAATAAAGAATGTCACATCCATTTGGGCTGCCATAACCATGCTTAATGAATAATAATTAGAATACATAATTGAGATTAGAATTAATAAAGCGCAATTAAATTGTGTTTTGTGTTTTGGGACGTGCTATTTATGAGCATTTTATGTTGTGGTTTTAAAAGCTCTATTTAATTGCTAGATATACAACCTTTTTTGAAGGGCTCATCCAAGACAAGTTAACTGGCATTTTAGGTGTGTTTGGTGAACAAACAAGTTATGAGTTTTGGTATCTCCTGGTATCGAAATTCTTTTTAGATGTTTGGTGAAGCTAAAAAAGATATCGAATTCGATATCTCTAAATATAAAAAATCTTTCAAGTGCCGGAAAACAAATATAAAGTTGGAAAACAAATGACACCCAAGTCCAAAATCCAAATAAATATGGACATAAATCAAAATGATTAAGGGCCTGTTTGGGAATAGCGTTAGAGATTAGCGTTAGTATTTTGGATAAAATTTTAAAGATGCAGATTAATTTGAAAATACTAAACGCTAAACGCTATTCGTAGATAGCCTTTTGAAAACGCTAACGCTATTCCCAAACAGGCCCTAAATGAAGATGTCTCTCTCGCATCTATAAGCTAATAAAAACTCAAGATCGAGTTACGATTTACACAGGGACCGGATCCAAAATGCCTGAACTTATTGGAATATTATTATTCCATCAAAAAACCAAATTTAATATTTTATATTCAAATTAAATCAAGTCTTTTCATATATTATTTTATAATAATTAAATCTTTGTGGCCTATGTATAAAATGAGTACGTTGAGGAGTCACATGTTAATCAATAATCGTGACAGCACCGACCGTGTGTGCCCTTAATAACCTCACAAAAAATAATAAATATAATAAAACAATAATTTAAAATAATAAATACTCCATAAATTAATATCATATCTCCATCAATTAAGCCGTCGCATATATATCCTTCCATTAAAAGTTTTCATTTTTCTCTTTGGAACATTTTATAACAAAACTCTAATTCTTTTTTTTTAAACAAAAAAACTGTTAAAAGATAATATTAATTAGTCAATGTAATAGATTTAATCTTGAAGTTAATAAATTTATTATTGTTAGAATTGTAATTAGGCCAGTATTATATCTATTTTAAAATTTTAAATTTTTTTTGTAAAAAATAAATGAGACTTTAAAGTTTGGAGGGAGGATGGTATAGAAATAAGAAATGACACACACAGTCCATGTTCAGATGCCGCCTCTTGTGTGGCCAATTGGCTACACTAATAATATAATATATAATCTTTAATATAATATATAATTTTTAATAATTATTGCTATCCTTCCCGCATTTAATTAATACTAACTTTTGTTAGTTGTATCAAAATAAATTTTACATTTCAGTTTTTCCCTTTAAAGAATGAAATATGTGATTCACTTTTTTTTCTTGTACGAAAATATTTTAATTATACATTTTTTGCTTTTAAATAATATTTATTCTTCTAAAATTTCGAAAAAAATCAAACACTGAAATGGAGTAATTCAGACAAGGATGGAATTTTTTTGTAGATATATTATCAATAATTAATTAGGTGATGGAGATTGGACTTGGATGTCACATTCACCTGATTTTTATAACGTTCATAAATGGGTTGGTATCGTCATGATGGCCCACAGTATTGGCCCATTTTAGTAGCTTTGTGGGCTACCTGAACAGTATTAATTGCAGAGTATAAAGCTAGACTAGCTTGTTAATAATTTTATCCATTCACATGCCTATTCAAAATGTATCTTAAATTTTACTAGTAATACTTACATTTTGATTGTCGATATTTACATAAAATATCAATACGATTACAAGATTTTATGATGACATTTTGTATCAATGTAAATCATGAACCTTGCACTTGCGTTGATACTAATTTTCATAGGGTGATATATTGTGGCGTGATTATATAATGTGACACGAACCATTACGACGACCAATGATTTCTACTTTATATACTCTTATTTCCCTAAAGAAACCTGTACAATTATTATGCTTTACGTTTTTGATTAATGGTAACGTTTTGAATAAAGTATTAATGATAAATATTATCCTTGAAAATCCTATTACTAAATGTTACCGTTTAATGATATTTTCAAATTGCTAACCCTAAATGCCAAAATGTACCAAATGTACTTTGTATTTTATAGCAATGCTAGGGGTACCCCATTTCAAATTAGGATATCTTATTTGTATACCATGCCTTCACAAATACACACAAACACGTAATGTATACGTTCTGTTTGTATTTGTGAACGCTTAGTGTATAAATAAAATGAGTAATGCTAGAGTCACAAACAAACAGTTCACAAAATTTACAAACTTACTATTTTAACACTTTACTAGAAATAAGATATCTTCAAATAATAAAATATATTTTAATTTAAAATCCACAAAAGACAAGTTTGTAAAGTTTGTGAACTATATGTTTGTGATTTTAGCATTTTCCAAATAAAATAGCTCATTTTAATTAATTTTTTTTATCCCTATTTGGATGAAGGAAAAAATGAAAGAAAAAAAAAGTAACAGGAAGAAGCAAGCACCGGTGAATGAAGAATTACTTCGTGGGCCGTGGCTTATGGCCGCCAAATTTACCCTCCATCTAGCCGCCTGAGTTTCCCGAATTACCCTTCACTTTCCCGATTGTTACGCCTCCCTTCTCATCTCTCATCTCTCTCTCTCTCGCGGGCTGCCTAGTGACGACTCTCTTCTAGCTACATTCAGGTGACTGAATTCTCTTCGTTCCTTTAAACCCTAACTGTAGATTTGTTTTTATAAATCCAATTGATTCTTTGTGCGTCTGAATCTATGGAATTCGCTGTTTTTTCCAGTTTTAAAGTGTGTTTTTTTCAATTATACTATCCACATGTATATACTGATGTATGGCAAGGTTAATGATCGTTTAGTTTTATATCACGGAGTAGTTTTTTCAAATCATAAAATCTGAATAGGAGTTTCAGTGGATCGAAATAGGAGACTTTAGGGCACAAACTTATTAAGAAATAGTTCTACATCTTTGAAATACAAAGCAATTCTTTGAGGTCCAAAAAACACAAAATCTAGATTGCTTTTCGAACAAGAATAGTTACGTGGTAGTTTGTATTCATTAAATTTAATAAAAAGTGTGTAGTACTCCGTAGTTATCAATGCACCGTGGGGGACATCCCGTGGTTCCTTCCTCAAGACAAATTTGTTTAGATGTTTAGAACATCTTAAAGTGTTAGGAGAGTCAGATATGAAATGATCATAAGTGTTGGTGGAAATATCATGAATCTAAATTCGAACGACTTCGAAAAACGTATGCTAACACTTTAACATTTTAAGACAGTCGCATATGTGATCTTCTTCCTTTGCTCCGTGGGCTAAGATTTATTCACTTTGTATTTAGTTTTGAAGGCAAATATAGATGTGAAAAACCCATATTTTGTTGTTATTGGACTTTCTTTTCTTAGTATGACATCCCCTTTCATCCAAAAAGGGTGCCCTATTGATTTAAGAAACTAAAAGGGTGCCATATTGATTTAAGAAACTGCAACGATCTTTTATTCAAGGTACAATTTGATATTATTCTTATTTTAAATTCCATGTGTATACATAATGTAAATGCACAACATTTCTTCTACATTGATAACCAAAATTAAGATTTTTGATCTTTTCATAACAAAAGTTAAGAGTTTAAAAACCATTACGGAGTATTTTGTTGAGCTTTGTGTCATTTCTTGATTTACTCTTTCAATGGCCTAAATGTTCTAAGTCTTGTAGCTGTTTACTCCCCTCCAAGTGTTTTTTATTGTTTCGTAATGGAACAACTCCAAAAATGTGTGAATATTGTGTGAGGAGTAATGGGCTTTGAGATTTAGAACATTTAGATCTAGAAGAAGAAACCATTGAAATGAAAAAATTTGAGAAAGGACTCAAATGCTTAAGCAACTTAACAAGAGTTTTTTTTAAAGTTCTTAACCTTTGTTATCAAAGGATTGAAACTCTTAACTTTTGTTATCAATGTATACAAAAAGTTATACATTGATAGGTCATACATTGATATTATATATACTTATCAAATTGAAAGTCTGAATGAGATCAAATTGTACCATATTGCACCTTGAATAAATGATCAATGCGCCTTTTGAACAATACTGTATCCCTTTTGAATGAAAAATGGGCAGTCATACTAAAAAAAGAGAATTCAACACCAGAGTATGGACTTTGCACATCTTCATCTGCGTATTAGACTAATTACAAAGTGGGTGGGTCATAGCACACCAAGAAAAGGCTGAAGATCACTCTATTGCAGAAGGCTTACTGTTTTAAATTTCAGCATACATTTTGAAATTGTTTCACTTCAGGTTCAATTTTTTTCCACCAAGTCACTAACACTTGTGATCCTTTCATATTCGACTCTCTTAACATTTAACCCATTCTAACATCTAGACATCACTATATTGAGGAAGGAACTGGAGGATGTCCACTCTTGTGATACTGATAACATTTTTTAAAATTAAATTTAATGGACACAAACCACAATATTATGCTTGTTGCCCGAAAAATGACATATACTCCGTATTTTGTAAATTTTTGTTCTCAGAGTAACATTTGGTATATAGGGATCATTGTGTTAGGTTATACTCCCTCCGTCCGGGAATGTTCTTCCCGTGTTCCCGTGTTGATTTGGCAGTTGGCACGCTTATTAAGGAGTAGTAAAAAAAGTCCCAAATTTCCAAAAATGCACTATCTATAAACTTTTAAATCTCCCGTTCTTTTTAAAAAAGCAATAAAAAAAGTAGATTAGTGATAAAATAGAAGGGTATTTTAGAAATCTATCCTCAAAAAGTATACTAAAAAAGAAAATGGGAAGAATATTTCTGGACGGGCCAAAAAGGAAAGTGAGAAGAACATTTCCGGACGGAGGGAGTAGTATCTTATTAAATCTGTGTTCCCTAACACAAAAACCAAACCCTTCAATTATTTTTAAATTTCGTTTGAAGTCTGGAATCTTAATTATGGAGTTCTAATTTCTAATTCTCATGTCTTGAAGAATTAAGTTACGAAGAACACAACCTTTTTAGGGTTTTGGGATTTATAAGCACGTAAGACCGAAAAACATCAAGAACTTGCTAAATACATATGAGAAGAAAATTTGAGAAAATTGTTTATTTCTTTTATTTCAAGACAACATGCAATAAACTCTCTCTATGTCTACAAGCATTAAAACCAATAGTCGTCAAAAAATCGTCTCTACACCTTGTACCCGGATCTATTTTCCCAATTAACTGGAGTTCAATTACTTGCCACCTTCACCCACACTAAAAAATATCCTTTTGGTGTTTGTGTGTCGTCTCATGTGTTTCCATATATTAGAGATTTAGAGAAACAGAAACTTCCTTTCTCTGCTTATTCTCTTTATCAACATCATTCTTGGTTTATCATTATGGTATACTCAAGAGTACAAGACTCTTAATAGTCATTTGATAAGCCATGCTACATATGCCTACTGCCAAAAGCTATTGTCTATTGGCTCCTTTTTTTTCTTTGCATAATTTTATTTGATTATTTAATCATATAACCAACATGCAAAAAAATAAACATATAACCAACAGACTTTGTTAAATGTTTAACTCTATATGATTATGATATAAAGAAAATGAATAAAATTTTGTTTGATGCTATATACATATATAATAAATCACAAAAGTCAATAAATTTCCCACATTCATTCTTCTTTTTTATCCTCTTTCCACTCTTCCTTCAGTCTGGCTGTGTCACTGACCCCACCCCCTTTAAACATTGATGGTTAACATGATCACTGGACTTGTCATGATCTAAGAATCTCTACCCACATTGATTGTTCACGTGATTCAGTAAATTAAAATGCCAAATGATTTAATTAGACCAATAAAGTGGAGTAAAACGCCAAAACCACCATAGGCTACTCCAACTTAGATTGCTGGGAGAATGCCAGTAGGAAGGTCACGCTTACTTTTTTTCTATGTTTGGAGACAGTATTTTAGGTGTCTTTCTGGAAAAGAAATATCTTGCTCATCATTTAAATAGATGCTCTGTGAATGTGATTATCATTAATCCACATGTGGTTTGCTCTGTTCTCTTACAAACATTTTATTGAAGTGTTCATTTTGTATTGAGGAGCGTATTTTTCCAATAACAAACCTCCCTAAGGCCTACTTTTGAGACAAGTTGTTAGATAAATTATCAAATTTATTTGTCTTATTCTCCGTATCATATTAATAATAATAATACTCCATATTATTTCTACTATTACATTTACTATAGTTGTTGCTTATTTGATGTTGTCGTTATTTTATGGTGATTGTTAGTCTCACTCCACCCGATCTCTTTATTCACTTCCCCACCATCAAATTTCTTTATTCAGTCCACCACCAATTTTCAATTTAATTTTTAACAAAAATGTACCACTAAATAAATGTGTAAATTAATAATTTAACTAATAATTACAAATCAATTAAAAGGAATGGCAAATCCAGTAATCACTCTTTTATAAATGCCAATTCATTAAAATTGATTATATAAGTACGGTATAATTAGAATTATTTGATACAGATGTGATATTATTTTTTCTTTTACTATTACGTAATAAACATACTTTCATAATTCATGAGATAAGTTTAAGTGAAACATTTTTCCTGATTCCTTCCCCTCCAAATCCCGATGGAGTTGAGAATTCTCGGTTGTTGTCGTTTTTGTATTTCATAACAAACGTACTTCCATAATTGAAATACCAAGTAAAACTTTTCATAGATAAAAACAAGGACTAATTTTTTTTAACCGTTCACCCTGTTTGTCTAAGCTTAGCTAAGTACGTTCACATATTCACAGAGAAATTTTAGTGAAAAGGAGCCATCAAGTGTTTGATGCTGAATCTTCTAGGTTTCTTGCCCTTTTCCCTTTTTATGCATGAATTAGCATGAACCGCATACAAAAGTTTGGGTATGAGCCTCAGGCAGTAAAGTTAGGAAGTTCTTATAAATTTCTGATGTGGGATACTTTAACACTATCTAAGTGTAGGTTGCTGAAGGTTTAAGAATCATGGCTGAGATTGTTGATTTAACTGGAGATGGAGGTGTTCTGAAAAATATTCTCCGGCGAGCAAAACCTGATGCTATTGGTCCATCAGAGGATCTTCCTCTTCTTGATGGTACATTTAACATATTAAAAAAATACATCCATGTATGTTGATGGTATTTAAATTATTTGCAGCATCTTATTAATTTATTGCTTATGTGAGAAGGTCTATGGTGCATTAAGAATTTTTCCTTCAATCATGGTTACACCGTTACCCAGCACAACCACATGTCCACTTTCTTATGCATCAACAATAATTCCTTTGGTTGATATGCTCCAAAAAGGGTTTGTATTAAAAAGTGTTTTATTGAAGTTGATTTGCTTTACTTTGTGTCCATCATCCACTTTTTGAAGTGTTTTTTGACCAAGCTATCACTTCTTGAAAAAAAGATATATATTTTCTGTCTTAGCTCAATTCAAAGGACTCTTTTATCTTTCTGTTGTTGGCCCCCAACCTATGGTTTATTCAGGTACATATACCTTTGAATAAGCTTGTGACTTAAAGTACCACTAAATTATTCAGCTGAAGTAGACTAGTTGCAAAGTAGTGTGATGGTAAACGGTCTTCTTAGTGCTTAAAAGTGGACACCGTGAAAGGTGATTTCATAATAATTGTTTTCCTGCTGAAATTAGAGACCAAGATGCTGGTTTACAAAACCGTGTCCTGGATAGCCAAAAGTCATTAGTTTCCCATAAGGCACCAATTCGAATTAGGATTTTTGTGGCAATGGGTTCAACTAGAGTTTTTCTCCCTATTTTAGTGCCTATTTTGATGACTTAAATAAATATTTGAAATCAACACATTTTTAATTTAACCATATCCTCTCTACTTTCGAGTAGGGACAAGGTCTGCGTACACACAGCCTCCTCAGACCCTACTCTTGTGGGATCCAACTGGGTTATTGATGATGATGATGATGATGATGATGATGTTGTTGTTTAATCTAACCCTACGAAAGCTATAAAAAGTTTATCCTTTCAAATTCAATAAATTCATTTTTATATCTCAATAAAAGCATCAAATAATTGCTTTTGAAATGTGACAGAAGTGGTTTTTATTGTTTCAAGAGTCTCAAACAGGTTCATAATATCCGCACAATAAACGTGTACATACTTATTAACACCCTCTCCCCCGGTGTAAAAAAACAGTGCATTATGAAGGGAGTCTTGCCGAGACCGGTGAAGTATTTGATACGACACGCGAGGACAATACGGTTTTCACATTCGAGGTAGGCACGGGATCAGTCATCAAGGCCTGGGATATTGCACTCAGAACTATGAAGGTCCGCAACTGAATGAAACTAACTACTTTCATATTATGTCTCTCTAGATTAATTCTCTAACGAGGGTACACTTGTTGTTTGACTCTTGTTACGTTTGCCTTCATTGCTGTTCAGGTTGGTGAGGTGGCACAAATCACCTGCAAACCAGAATATGCATATGGTAGTGCTGGGTCTCCCCCAGATATTCCCCCTGAGTAAATCCTCTAAAGCTCTAACTACTGCTACTAATCCCCCATAGTCTTATGTTGTGTCCGCCATTCTTACCCGTAGACAGTTGACTACTGATTAATTTTTTTAGGGCAACTCTTGTATTTGAGGTGGAACTGGCTGCTTGTAAACCTAGGAAAGGCGCAAGCTTGGGCAGCTTATCGGATGAAAGGACAAGACTTGAGTAAGTCTGTCTGTCTTTTTTTTTCTCCCCACTTTTTGAATACTTGTGTTGTTTGTAAGTCTGTTTTGGATTGGGTGTAAGGAGGGGCAATTAAGGGTAAGGAAGTGTTGAAAAGTGAAAAAAACGCGTTGTTGAAATTTACTCCCATTCATCCAAAAATCAACAATTTGACTTCTTGGAATTCAAGAAAAGGGTTGAAAAATGAAAAAAGAACATGGTTGAAATTTATTTAAAAGATAAAGAAATGTCGTGAACAAGATATTCCTTTTCTTAATAGGAAAGTAAGGAATTTCAAAATTTAATTTGGGACTTCCCAAAAAGAGAAGTGTTACTTCATTTCTGGGGTGGAGGGAGTATAAAATAAGGGTATGATTATGATTTTACTCATTTAATCTTGTGAACCCTCTTCTTCCAAATAAAGGTTCTCTCATAAAAAACCCAACTTCACTTGACACTTACTCTTTACTCTTCAAATTCAGTTTCTGTCGAAACGGACCCGCCCTAACGGGTTTGCATTCAATATAAATGTGTCACAAATGGTACAATATGTGCACCCAGGGAGCTAAAGAAACAGAGGGAAGCGGCAGCGGCGAACAAAGAGGAAGAGAAGAAGAAGAGAGAGGAAGCCAAGGCGGCTGCCGCCGCGCGTATCCAAGCAAAGCTGGAGGCAAAGAAAGGTCACCATCAAGGCAAAGGTAAATCAAAGTAGGTAGCAGCCTATGGTGTAAAAAGAACTCATCACCATTTATTCCTAAGTTGGTTGTCACAATGGACCAGATATTTGTGTTTTTTCTTATGTTTAGGTCATTTGTACTCCTTTGTTCCCGCAAAAAATTTTTGTTCTTTTCTTTTTCTTTTGTTTTAAAAAAACTTCATTTTCCTTTTTAAAGAAAAGAGTATGGGGTTTAGAAAATTTTTCTTTCTAAAAAAATCTCTTGTTTTTAGAAAAATATTCAGAGTGCTTGATGGAGCACCTAGGCGGTTTATGAATTATGCTCACCAAGTGCATGTTCTTTTTTGTTGGAATTTTAAAGATAGATATTGGAAGAAATTAGAAAGAGTTGAAAGAAATTGGAAAGAGTTGGGATATGTTGGAAAAGTAAAGTATTAAAAAATCACTTAATTAGATGATTATCCAAATAAATATGTAAAAATTCTAATTTTGGATATTAAAAAATTACCTTTATACGTGTTTGAGGTGATATCTCTATATAAATTTGGATATACGGAGTTTGATGTTATTGTATATAATCATATGCAAATACGGAGTAGTATTTTTAAGTTGTTAGAAGAAACTGAAAAGAGTTTTAAAAAATTTGGAGGAAATTGGAAAAATTAAAAAGAGTTGAAAAAAATTGGAAGTTAACTATTCTTTATGAGAAAGATAAATTGTGTTATGCAAAATTTGACTTAAATATTTTTCATTTTTCGGTTTTCAATGCTTGTTAAATTTTGTGAAAATCAAATCATGAAACTCTTTATGAGAAAAAGTGTGTTGTGCAAAAAAAATTGTGTTATGCTCACTAAATAATAAGGCTCATTGTCATTATCATAATAATGCATGTTCACTGTGTTAGTGTCATTTGCACTCCTAATAGTAGCCACTTGTTTTTCCTATTAATGCTAGGTTTAGTGAGCTGAACATTATGAAAAGCTTGCACAACTTTCCTTTCAAGCTAGTCAACTTCAAATACAATTAGTGCCCCATAATTTGAAATTTCCTAATTTTGTTTCCTAATGCTCATTTTCTTCTTTCTTGTTATCAAGTTATTGTTGCTTTGCTATTTGGAAGGTTCCCATAATATAGTTTATGTTCATTATAGTGATATTTATAGTGATTAATTTTTTCTATCTCTTTGTTAAGCGATCAGTAAATCACATACTCCACAATAAGGTACGGAGTAATTTATACTTCCTCCGTCCGGAAATTTTCTTCCCGTGTTGACTTGACACGCTTATTAAGAAATAGTAAAAAAAATGTAAAATTTTCAAAAATGTGCATACTATGAACTTTTAAATCTCCTTTTATTATTAAAAAAGTACTAAAAAGTAGATTTTTGATAAAATAGAAGGGTATAATTGATATTTAGCTTTAAAAAGTATACTAAAAAAGGAAATGGGAAGAATATTTTCGGACGGACCAAAAAGGAAAATAGGAAGAATATTTCCGGACAGAGGGGGTACTTTGGTTCGAGCAATTGATTCTATGCTTGTTTTTTTTTGTCCACACTCTGATATGAATAAAAATTAATGTTATATTTTTAAAAATTGATACTTTGAGAACTTGAGATGGTTTCCAAGATTATGGTTGATTGGTGGTCAATAAGGTTTTCATACTTCTTATTTTTCTTTAAACATATAAATTACTAGTTTGGATATGGTAATTAGGATATGAAGCTACTAGAGTTGACTTTGAAAATGCATTTTTCAATTTTTTAGGGTGGAAAAAATATATCTTGACCATCAACTTCAACATATGGAATGCAACCATCTTACCATTCCATACTTATTAACTAACATGTTATGATCACGACACTGATGAAAGTTGGATCACTAATTGAGCTAAAATGATAATTTGATTCACCCAAATTAAATACGACAAATTACAACTCTAAGAATGTAATATGAAAATTCATATTCATTGACTAACATGTTATGATCAAGTATAGAAGTTATAATGCTCATTGGAGGGGGGGAAAGGGGGGACTTGGGGTTTAATTTGAAGAATTTGCAAACAAACAAAAAGGGGATATGAGTGATAATAAAGAAAATAGAGATGGAAACATTGTACCAACTTGATGAACATTTCCAAATGAGAAAATACAGTAGAAATGATGGGTACATTTGTCCACTTATTACCAACCAAAATCCCAACTCTTAGCATTCTGTGTCTGGTAATACAAACATTTTAGGAAAACAAACAATCACTCACTACCCTCTCTAAGATACCCACCCACCCAAAATGAGTGAAAACAAACAAATAGTCAGCCATCTGTAATTAGAGCACTGAATTGAATAAACAATTTTGGCACAATCAAAAGAAAGCTTTTGCTTTATGACCATACTTTATATATGCCATAAAATATTAGTACTATGTCATACCATATATCCTAGTTTTTAAGGAAATTATAATTAGTGTGTTTTCATGTAGATAGAATATTATTAGAGGTCATATATATTTATTATGATTTCAATGAGCTTCACTTGTAAACCCTAATTCTACCTTACACGCTCCAACACGTTATCAATACGCACTGAAAATACCTATATTTTAAAATCATTTAGCTAGATCAATGTTGTATTTTTGTTTTTATGTTTTTGGATGTGTAAAGATCATATTTATAGTTGTTCAATTTTCATTTTAGAAAATAAATATACAGACATGTTTTAATCCGCATCCCCCAAATAAATCTCAACCATAAATTTTATTGGTAATTTTCATCAGCTTTTTTATGAATTTGAACCGACACACGTAGTATGTGTGTATGAGTATCGGAAATTCAGTGTTAATTCTTGTATTAACATCTTATCCGATTTAAACTATTTTAGCATATTCCAAAATAAATTTAATCTAAAAGTGTATTCTCACGCAATTCATTCAATCTATCAATTTAAGTTCATTCTTTATGTTCGTATACATTCTTCGTAACTTTAATTTTATACTTTTTCATACTCCCTCCATCCAAAAATTTCTTTCTCGATTTGACTTTGCATAGAGATTGAGAAAAATTAAAAAAAATGTAAAAACTTTTCATGTAATGAAATAAAATGAATAGTGTAGATAAAAATGGGGTATAATGGCACATTCATTAAAACGAGAAAGAAATTTTTGAACGATCCAAAAAAGAAAATGAGAAAGAAATTAATCGACGGAGGGAGTATATTTTTTAAAAATAAACTTTATAAAATCAAAATAAGTAGCTAACTTTGAGATAGAGGAGCAGCTAGCTAGCAGGAATACAAACATAGAACGTGGCAGAGCTCCTCACCAAACATGTGCCAGAAGAAAAAAAAAAGATACAATTGCATGAACTAAGCAAAAGCTGGACGACTTGACCAGTATGGATTGGTAGCTTTAATTTGAAAAGCTCCATTGCATTTATATGAGCTGAGATATGTACAAAAAAAAAAGTTGACATCAAACTCGTAGTGTTCTTCGAGACAATCGGAACAAATAAATTGAACTATAATTTCAATAATCGAGAAAAAAAGAGTTTGTTACATCCCAAAGTATGCATAAAAATCTAATGTGACACTATCTTCTAGACCAACTGAGTTATGCTACTTAGGCAATAAGAAATTGCATTTTTTCTTATAATAGGAGGATGTATAACTTTTGATAAGTGCCAACTTTCCAGGTGGAAGCTAAGGCCCTGCTTGGCTGGGTTGTCACCACAAGAGCCACCACTCTCTTATTATCCCCACACACTTTATTAATTAAGTACTCCCTCCGTTCCTCTAAGATGTTCTCATTTTGACTTTTGGTGATTTTTAAGGAGAGTTGAAAAAAAGTGAAAGTTTACCATAATACCCTTAATGAAATATGGGTGGAGTGTATTAAATGAGGTGGGTGAGGTGTAATAAATAAAGTAAGTGGGGGTAGTTATGTATTTTAATTGTTAAAAAATGAAATGAGAAGATCTATTGTGGACAAAAAAAAGGCTATTGAGAAGATCTATGGGGGACGGAGGGAGTATATTATTATCATCCGATCCGGAGCTGGGGCTATTATTAAATTATTATATATAGACACACAGGCAAATTAGATTCTCAAAAAACTAAACAAACAGAAAAGAAGACACACACACAGGCAGGCAGGCCATGGAACCAACCACCAATATATCTCTAGGTCATGCATGGACAGATAATTCCATCTTAATTTGAAGCAATTCATTAATTCTCTCTTTTCCACTAATATACGGAGTATTTTTTTTCAACTAAAGTTTATTGGGGTCCGTTTGGTACAAGGAACTCAAACTATAGAATTGAAAATTGGGACAATAGTTCTGTTTCTGTTGTTTGGTAGCACAAAAATATGTGGATCTGAAGTTGGTAGTGCCAAAAATGAATTGAAATTGGAAAATTCAAGTCCTTTCAAATAAATTACGTAGAATTTGAACTCAAAATTATATTTCAATTCCGTCAATTACGTGTAGCAAACGGACCCTTTAGGGTCGTTTGGTACACGGAATTGGCGGAATTAGAAATGAGTTGGGAATTGAAATTTTATGTAATTGATTTGGATGAAATTAAATTTTCCAATTCCAATTCATTTTTATACTAGCTACCAATTCTAAATTCACATATTTTTGTGCTACCAAACAGCGGAATTAGAATTATTGTTTCCAATTCTAATTCCACAGTTTGAATTCTGTATATAAAAAGGGACCCCAAGCCTTTTTTTATTTGGAAACATCGGAAAATGTTTGCTTTAATTAAATAAAAAAGACGATATTTTAGAATAAATTAAAGAGCCTAAAATGAACAAGGTAACTCTTTTGCTTAGTGCTTCCTTTTTAAAGGGCCGGCCGGTGCTTAAACATGATTAAAGAAAGAATAAAGACACTTCTCTTTTTTCTTTTTTTTTTCTTTTTTGGCATTTTTAAAGAGTGGAATAAAGATAGAATAATAATGTAATTTTCTCATAAAAAAAGAAAATACTTATTCCAGTCTGGGGTTCTACTCCACTACTATTTGTGTTAAGGGATAAGTGCCATTCTATCCAATAGCGAGGGTGAATTGGGAATATTTGTGATTTATATCCTCCTATTGTCTCCTCCCTAAGTTCATATTTTTCTCTCTTTTTTTAAAATAAAAATTCGATTTTTCTATTCTCAAATGTTCTGAA